TACAACACATTCACTATATTTGAATTTTGATATCAATTTAAACGTTGAAAGCGATTGTGTATCCAATGTGTAATACAAATGCTATTTAATGGCATTGAATAGAGACGATGACAACCAATAATCATAACAATATTGTTAATAATAACGGCAATCATAATGTAATTGATTCCAAGTATAGGGGAATAGCCATCCCTTTGGTCCCAATTTCACGCTTTTTGATCGAAAAGTTGAGATTTCATTCAAAGAAAACTTTTTTGGTAAAAATTATTGCGATTTTATTGCAAAAACATTTAACTTTTTATGTATTTATAGTTAGAAAATGAAACAAAAAATACCTACACTTTCGACGAAGTGGCAGACGATAGCCTACGTATGGCTACAGTATTGTCGGCCAATGGACTGAAAGATGGCCAACATTTCGGTATTTGCGGTCACAATAGTTACGAATTTATTACTACATTAATCGGTGGCTTAATCGCTGGCGGCGTTGCCGTACCCGTCAATGCACACACACCTCTCGGTAATTCACATATTGTCTCGTATTAATTGAGTTTTATTTTATTACGAGTGGTAAAACTAATTTTTTAATTAACTTAACATGTTAATTTTAGATACAATATCGCAGTTAATTAAACGAAAACATATAAACTATATGACAATCACAACACGTAATCAAAAGTCATTGTCTAACCAAACGCTCAAAAGGTTTCAAAAAGGATTAAAAGTACGATAAATCTGTCTAAATATACAATGAATTTAATTTATTATTAAATCCTTTCAAGTTTTTACAATCTATTTATTGTTTCGTCTATTATATTGTCAGACAATCGTCTCATTCGCTGAAGAAGTGAGCGACTCGTCCACTGATACGGGCGTTGAAGTGGAGGACAACACAGAGAGGGATGAGTACCAGTCGTACAGAAGTCACATAACTAGTCACGAATGTAAGAACGAGTCACACATCGGTGTCATTAAGTCAATTGATCCCAAGACGAAGAACTGTCTGCTCATCGATA